ATAACAAAAATAAATAAAAAAAACAATAGCGTTTCCACAAAGGGAACAGAATCAACGCATATACCTCGAACGATGACGACTTATTTTATTACGACTTAATTTAAAAAATACTTTTTCGATGATTTCTTGACAAAATATCAGTATTTACAATACAGTTATAACAATTAAATAATGTTAATATTAATATTTACCGAAAATATGAAATTCCACCCTTTTTTAGCGTCCTGGATGTGTGCTTTTTGCACTTTTTAAACGAGCACTGAGGCATGTTTACAGTCGGAACATTCGAATGCTACTAGATTAAATGTGCACCCATATGTTCGAGTGGGTGCACATTCGGTTATGCCATTTTTTGTCACTGATTGTGTATCTAGTTTTTTATTATTGATCGATGGCACACACGCAAAGTTTCAACATGCGGAAACGCGTACTTTTTGAAAAAATAATTGAAAATCAATTATTTTTGCAATATGTATGCCAATCCCCATTGACATCCGTCAAGTTGGGCGTTGATATTTTTTTACAGGAAGGTTACATTATTATAAGCACACACACAAAGTTTCGATATTCGGAGACACGTACTTTTTGAGAAAAAAATTATTGAAAATCAATTATTTTTGCAATATTTATGTCAATTGCTACGGTAAAACTGACGCTATTTTGTATTGTCATTCACCGGCTCCGTGGCGCAGTGGCTTAGCAATGAGTTGCTGCGCTGGGGGGCGCGGGTTCGAATCCCGCACGGAACAAGTATTTGTATGGCCTACAAATGATTGTTCCGGGTCTGGATGTTTGTCCTTGTGAAATTTGTGTTTGTAAACTGCCTCCACGATACAGGAGAAAATCCTAGTGTGGGGGTAAAGATTTAAAAAAAAAAGTTGTCATTGTAATCGTTAGTCGATAAATCGATTCTAATCATAAGCTAATGTATCGATTCACAAAAATCGATTTCCTAAATATCAATATTTTTTCATGTTTGCATTTATAATGTAAATATAAATCTAATGTTTGAAAAACAAGAAAGAAACCATAATAAATGATCTCTTATTGAAATCTGTTTTATTTTTAACAGTACCTATTACGGTAGATAACTAATAAAATAGGTTAACTTCAACTTATGTCAAAGAACCGAATTGATTGACCCCGACTCCACCTGATAAGAGTCTGTCCTACCCCTAGAGTGTTTTTATAGAGCCGGAGGCGCGTAGGGGGAGCAACCTCCGCCTGCTGTAACAAATCGTAGGCATCAGACGTGCCGGAGTGACTGGGCTGGTCACCGAAGGCGACCAACAAGCCGAAGCTGCGGAGACTAGGAGGGATGCCTGCGATTTGTTACGCAAAGGCGTAGAGGCTGCTCTTTCCGCAGCGCCGGAGACGTTGCAGTCTCAAAATAGATACAGAAATCCCTCTTAATCAGTCCCCCTATTTTTTTTCTAATGAAGGGGATTTTTTTCTCATAAAATGGATTTCTATTTACATTATAAATGCAAACATGTAAATATATCGAAATTTTAGAAATAGTTTTTTTGTGAATCGATACGTCAGGTCGCGATTCGAATCGATTTATAAAATCGATCTTTTTCGGAAAGAATCGACATCCCTACTGGCGATGACAATGACAATACAAAATAGCGTCAGTTTATTCGGGTAGAATCTATTAGTTAATCTGTGGTCAGTTTTACGGTAGGAACTGACATAAATATTGCAAAAATAATTGATTTTGAATAATTTTTTTCTCAAAAAATATTTCCGCATGTTGAAACTTTGCGGGTGTGCTTATAATAACGTTACCTTTCTGTAAAAAAACCCCCAACTGACGGACGTCAATGGAAAGTCGTACCAAAGAATCATCGAAATCGGTTCACCCAAAAAAAGTTAACAGGTAACACACATTAACAAAACATACAGTCGAATTGAGTACCTACTCCTTTTTGAAGTCGGTAGATAACCGCTCAGATAGCGTTGATGTAGCGATTGTGGTCGAATATCTCACCGCAAGTTTATTTTTTATTTTAGATAGGTAGAACTAATAGCATTGTTCTAAATGTGCATTGGATCGTGTTTAAGATCAACCATCGGATTTTTTAAAAACAACCAACAAAGAAACACACAACCAACAACGACGCTAGTTTAAGTTGTAGCCTCCGCCAGCAACACCATTACAGTTGAAGTGTCAAATTTGATACACCTTAATGATATATTTTTAGGTTATCGATGCGTTCAAGAATTCTGAATTATTCAATATTTTAAATATTGAAGATTTAGTTGATATTGATTTCGCGGGTTCACAGTGTTCGCAAGTATCCAATAATCGGTTATGGGTTTATTGACATCGATGTTTCGATGTTTGACATGTGGCAACATCGATGTAAAACATCGATGTTTTCATTTTTGACATCGAACATCCCTAGTTATTGTGTTGTGCGCTACTGTACGTTAAACATCGATAGTTTGGTAATCCGATAGTATCGATAGTTTAACTAAAAACTATCGATAGTATCGATAGTCTATCGATAGTTTAAAAACTTGTAGGATTAGCGTAACATCAATAAAATAACAAATGTTATACGAAACGTAGAATTTTATTTTGATATATATATATTCGAAATAACAATCAAACAATCAAAAATCAGTATTCATCATTATTATAGTTAGAAATCAATCATTAAAATAACAGCTATTTTGTTTTATAAACAACAATTCATTTAATCTTTTTTCTTTTAACCTATTTCTGCGTTCGGTTAAAATTTGTCCGGCCTTCGAAAATATTCGTTCTGAAGGCACAGAAGATGCTGGAATACAGAGATAGAGCATCGCTAATTCCTTCAATTTATTGTTGGTGTATTTCCAGTATGTTATAGGACACTCTTTTCTGTCAATTACTGGCTTCTCGAGATATTGCCTGACATCTACCAATGAGTTACTCAACGGGGTCGATACGTCCGGAACGTCTAGAAATCCCAACAGGTCATTAGATGTTCCTGAAGACGTGGATGGTGTTGGTTGCGTTTCTTCTACAGCCAAGCGTTCTTTAGTTAAATGGCTAGCATAGGCCTTTTCCAGCCACTGACCAGCTCGCTTCTCGTCGTCACTTGTTTTGAACCCCTTCTTCTTAAATCTGGGGTCCAATATTGTAGCAAGTACAACAGGTGTCCTGCTTTCATAGGGACTTAGTCTTTTGTCAACTGATCCCTTCATGCAGAGTAATATTTCGTTTCCGCTTTCAGTAACAATTTGAGATTCAACTTCTACTAATTTCGTTTTTATTCCACGAATCAATGGTATTATCAGTGACAATGTTATATAGCTTTCTCCGGAAATTTTTGTTGTAGCTAGATCGAAAGGTTCCAGAATTTGAATTGTTTCTTGAATAATTAGGTATTCGTCAGCATTGACTCCTGGTGGAGCCCGATTACATTCATTAAGTGCGAGAGTTAATTCTGTCTTCATTGTAACAATTCTTTGCAGCATGTGGTATGCACTGTTCCAGCGGGTGGGTACTTCCTGGATCACTTTCAGTTCTGGTTTATTTAATTCACGTTGAATAGCCCGTAATTTATCGCTAGCTAGAGTACTCATCTTGAAAAAAGTCACAATCGATTTACATTTTTTCAGAATCTGGTCTAAGCAGGTCACAGCAAACGAATCACTTACCGTCAGGTTTAGTGTGTGCGCAAAGCAGGGTATATGTCGTATATGCAGTTTGGCTGCGGCGTTAATCATTGTTTGAGCGTTATCAGTCGTTATTGCTTCACATTTTGACCTGATATCCCATTTTGAGAGAGTAGCATCCAACATCTGAAAACAATAATAATATTGTTTATGTCTGATTATAAAGAAACACTGAATTGGTAGGTATCAAGGCAATAAAATTTAAAAATACTTACACTGGCTATATTTTCTGCGTTATGACTTCCTTCCATCTTCACAACTTCCAATAATGGTGCAATTAATTTTTCGTTGTGAAAGAAATGACAAGTAACTGAAAGGATGCCTTCATTTGCAATTGATGTCCATAAGTCAGTAGTCACACTAACATGTTCTGCTTTCGATAATGCTATGACGAGCTTCTGTTTCACGTTTTCATAATATTCCGGCAGTAATTTCTTTTTCAATATTGTTGTATCAGGAATTTCATATCTACTATCGAGAGCATTTACAAAATCCCGAAATCCTTCATGTTCTCCTTTTCGCAAAGGTTCCATGTCAACAGCAATCATGCGCACGTATTTGTTATCCAAATTTTGCTTTGTTTTCCCATCTGGATATTTACTACTTCTATCAAAATAATTTTTTAGCGTATTTCTCTTTTTAGGGCTTGGGCCCATTTTCTCATTTTGCTCAGTGGTATCTACGTCTTGAGTAACAGAAACAGTGGATGACCACATCCATACCTCATTATGTTTTCTCTTCATATGATCGATCAAGTTCGTAGTATTTCCACTTAGTTTAAACTCTCTTTTACACAAAGAACACTTGGCAAACTTTTCATTAGTCTTTTTGAAGTAATCCCACGCACGTGACTTACTACTCATGTTTTATTGTTTAATTTTAAATTGTTTGTTACTCCACTCAACTTCAAACATCCACAATAAAAAACTGACTGACTGACTTTTGTCTTGTAAATGAATGATATACGCACGGTAATTCCCCAACCATAGAGAAGAATCTCAATGTCTACGCCTTTGAATGTATGATATACGCACGGTAATTCCCCTACCATAGAGAACAATCTCAATGTCTATACCTTTGTCACTATAGCCGGGGAATAACTTACATACATGCATACCTCGACTCTAGGGATGTAAAAGTAGTACCCGAGTAAACAATCGATCGATAGTTTTAAAAACTATCGATAGTATCGATAGCCATTTACTATCGATACCATCGATAGTCTATCGATGTTTAACGTACACTATTGTGCGCTGCTGTGCTGTGTTTTTCTGAATTTCTAGTTTCTGTTTTCGTCAATTGTCTTTTTAAAATTACTATAATCGAAAATGAATAGAATATTTGGAAGAGGAAAACCAAAAACGCCCGGTCCCAGCATTACCGAATGCATTAGTAATGTAGGTAACTAGAAATAATGTTTTGAAACGTTTTATGAAATGATTCATCATCGCTTCATCTTGGATATAATTAATGTTTTAGGTTGATAGTAGAGCTGATAGTATTGAGCAAAAGGTTCAAAAATTAGAGTCAGAACTAAGAAAATACAAAGATCAAATGGCAAAAATGAGAGAAGGACCTGCGAAAAACTCAGTAAAACAAAAAGCAATGAGAGTCTTAAAGCAGAAAAAAATGTAAGTATGGGTCTAAAACAAATTTTTATAACTTTTCATTTCTGCATCTACCACCAACCGAAAGATCTTTCGAACTTCCAGAACTAAAATAAATATAATCCTCTATCCTTTTCTGCCTAGGATTCTGTCTATGTAAGCACCACCCTCTTGTGTTCTGGTCTTAAGTGCATAGAGAGCCAGTATAGTAACGTAGATGTAATTCTGGTTGAAGTGCCTTAACCTCTCAGTATATCAATCTATGAAATAGCCATGTTATTGGTAACAAGATCAAGATCTGAAATGCAATGATATATATTAGGAGACTTGCAACAAGTAGTATTTCAAGTGTATTTCAGAGTATATAATCACAATGTCTATGTTTAGTTGCAAGAAATATACTACTACTTAGTTATCTCCCTCCTGTGCCATGGTGTATTTTTGAGTGTGATGTGTATTTCAAATTTATAAGCAGCCAGTTTATTGTTATGACCCAACTGGGCGATAGAAATGGTTAGGTTATACTTTTCATGCATAGCTGGGTATGTATGTTGGTGAGATTCTTACCCAGAGATAATGTTGTAAGTTCCATGATTTTAATAATGTTGTAAGCTTTAAGCTAGGCAGTTTGTGGTGATACTTAATTACTTGTATAATGTTAAATCGCTAAAACCTACAACTACCACAATAAATGACTTATTCTATTCTATAGCCTTGAAATCAATGATTCTGCCTATTTATTCATCTGAACCGAGCATTCTGTAGGTTTTGTTTATATGAAACCAAAATGGTGGCCATAAACTACAAAAATGTGGAAGAGACGTTAATTTCTTACTAAGATAATCTTGAAACTTTCTGCTTTTCCTAAAGTTATTAGTCTAATTGATAAGGGAGCCTTATCCAGTTTTTATTTGAAAAATGGAATACACACTGATTTATGATTTTATAAAGTTGTTATATGTATATTTATTTACTATAATATTGTCTTTGCTAATGATTATTTGATGTGTAACTGGTTTTGTCCTACTTTTTCAATAATACTAAAGTTGATATACTTCTAGGTTATATTTAATCAGATGCTGGATATTTGTATTTTTAAGAATGCATCAACTGCATTAACACTCACTGTCTGGTTTCCAGACACAATAGTGAGACAATACCAAGGACCTTTGTATATATAGTGCATGGGATAGCAAAAGGGTTAATAGAAAGAGATACCCATCTAACCATGAGAGTATAGTTACAGCCTTATGCATACATCCTACTCCTATGCACATGCCTTCTCTTGTTTCTGAGACTGAAATTCTACCAAGGGTGTTGCCTACATCCAGGTGTATGCTATGTGCCTTAAAAGAAAAATTACTGTGTTCTATTATTTCTTAATGTATAATTTGTGATTGCTTGCAGGTATGAGCAACAATTGGAAGGTCTCAGAAACCAAGCATTTAATATGGAGCAAGCAAATTATGCTACACAAACTATAAAGGACACACACACTACAATAGCTGCTATGAAAGATGGCGTCACACAAATGAAAAAAGAATTTAAGAAGATAAACATTGATTCTATTGAGGTTTGTTTTCTTTTTACCTGACCTCATAAAAAGAGGACTTTCTTAATTTGACTGTATGTTCTTTTTATGTATTTTACTCGATATCTTTGTCAATTGTAAATCAATTTTAATGTTTTTTTTTAAATTAAATAGGAGATATAAATTTGGAGAAAAGATTCCACCCTTAAAGGTCCCACCTTTGGGATGGGAGATCAATTGTTGTAAGATGTAAAGAACCAGTATAATTACATTAACAGATATTACATTAACAGATTTTACATTTTAGTCCAGAGAGGTATCTCATCTGTTGTCTTCTTTGTTTAACAACTTTAAATAGCTGTTGGTCTGTGGACCGACCGTTTGTCACTTCAGTTTTGTACAAAAAAACTTTTCTGGTTATAGCCTATTTCTTCATTAAGAATAATAATTATGAGCGGAGTGTGGAACCTGAATTATCAATATTTTTTGAAATAAATTCAATATTAATATTCAGAAAACAAAAGATTCAGTTTATTTAAATAATTGTGGTAAATAATGTTAGCATTATCATTAAATGACTAAACTTTTTTTTGCAAGGGAGTTGTTGTATTAACCATCGCTTAAAGTTGCAGTTCAAAATATGCAGTTGTCATTATTTATAGGACATAATATGTCTATTTTATAGGATGTGAATGATGACCTGGCTGATATGATGGAACAAGCTGATGAGGTGCAGGAGGCATTGGGTCGTCAATATGGTGTACCTGATATAGATGATGATGAACTGGCAGCAGAACTAGATGCATTGGGTATGTGTTTCTCTACCTATATACTTAAATTTATTTAAACTATTTTACATGTTTTTTTTAAAAGTTAACCGTTTGTTAACACTTCACAGATATTAAAGTATGTTTAAGATATGATGTGCATCTTAGGTTATTCAATTATGCAACTTCATCAATTCGTTAATAATCAACTGCTGGACTCTTGCTATGCTATGTAGGTGGGTACACAGTCGTAGTACCAGATGTCTTACAGCTTTGCTTCCCATCGCCAGTTAGAGTATTTTACATCTTTCCAGTATAAAACAAGAGTGGCCTAGGGCAGGGGTCGGCGACCTTTTGAGTCATAAGAGTAAAAAATTACAATTTACAAAATTTCAAAGTTTTTAATGAGCCACTAATTTTTTTCTTGCCAACTATAAATAGTACTTGCATAAATAAAGTTTTATGATAAAAAACAACTAATCCATTTATTCATAAGAAAAATATGTTTTTATTCATATATAAATAGTGTTTTTCACAATAAATTAGAATTTAATTTCTATTATTAATTATTACATAATAAATATATATGTGGTATTATTAGATAATCACTTGTTATTTAAGTAAAAATTAAAACAATTAAAAATTTATTTACATTATAAGTCTTACAACATTAACTTGTACTTCAATAACAAACAATTGAGCAAACAAATTCAATGGGAGCGTTGGCTTTACATGGTTTTAGTAAGTTTGGACAAATTTGGCTCATAACTTGTCGTTTTAAGTTTCAAACACGACCTTGAATTTTCATTTGTTAGTTGGCTTCTTACTTCACTTTTAATTATATATATTCATGCAATAGAACGCTTGCTCGTCACGAATATGTCGATCCGAAGGTAGTCAGCACCCCAAATGCCAACTTCGTCACCTCACTGTAGCAATCTGGAAGACTATTCCATGCGTCAAATATAAGTGCCTCAACTCGCGGCATTTCTTTTAAAGTTCATTTTTGTTGCGTTACGTACATACATTTCTGGACCTCCAACTCTTTGCTTTTTTCACTTGCTTTCACACTCTGTAAATTTTCAACTCCACAAAGCTTTACTTTTTAAATCGATCAATTGCATTTCTAGAGATCCAGTATCAACTCCAAATGGCTCAGTGTGGACCGATTTTTAAATGTTTTGTTTTTTATAAAATAAATAATATTTGCATATGAAACTAAAGAGCCGCAGCTTCACATCCAAAGAGCCGCATGTGGCTCGCGAGCCGAATGTTGCCGACCCCTAGCCTAGGGCACCCAATGGTTGGAGGCTTTATACATAAGCATCATCATTACAACCTATCAAAGTCCACCGCTTCTCCTGTTTCAGTTTTCTTCTATCGCCTCTTACGACACCAATGGAATGGTATAGGGTAGTGGTGTAGATTACATGGCAAATTTTTCACTGCAATTATGTATACATATAAAGGTAATACAATATAACGGTTAACAGACATGTGTTACAACATTTAGGAATTCCTCTTAGACCAAAGTCCTGGCTTCATGGCTCATGTGCCCTTAATTTAACTGATTATACTGCCAACTGTCAGAAGCTACAAAATGTAACGGGCATTTTCCTAAATCGCCGTTTACGATACCCATGCCATTATTTAATCTGTGCCCATGTGATGAGATGGGGTGCTGAATTTTCTTATGTCACAACAAAGATTTTTACCATCAGTCGGTTGTTACATCCTTAGTTGTATCTCAGGGTACACCGTGCCCACATATGGTTGATATTTGTAGGAAGGGTTGCCATTAGATAGTATTGTTGCGCTCCACGATTAATACATGGTACATGGTGACACTAGTTACCACTAGCGCCCTCTAGTATCGAGTAGCAGAACTAGGAGAGTCAAGAACATTCTAGAAATTTCCATAGAAGAAGTTTCTAGAACTATCGACATCTAGTCAATCGGGACCGATATGTACTCGAACATTCTAGAAGTTTCTGTAGTAGAAGGCTCTGCAAACCACCTGAGGCCCTATATAAGGCCGGTATAGACCGCGACCGAGTCAGTATTGAATTGGCGATACAAGCGAATACTTCGAAGCGATACAACTGCGAACTAAAGTGATCAGTAGTACAATTGGTTTTTATTATTAGTGTGCTTTTAATTTCTAATTAGTGTCCTATAATTAATGTGTCAATTTTGGTAATTCCATCGGCAGATTTTTTCAGAGATTTTAGATGATGATCAGCCCAAATATTTAAAGGCTTCTCAATTTTAAGATGCCGTGAAGTTTTGTACTGTCTCTATCACTTTCAGTCGTAGTGACTTACACCATGAGACTTAACGGCATCTTAAAACTGAAGTGGCGTTTGTGACTTATAGTCTCATAATGCAATTGTATGTAAAATATTTCTTTCAAAAGTCCCGCTGGGTTACTTGCTGATTCTTCTCATGACAGAGGTTTTTTCCGAACCAGTGGTAAAGCTTAAATGACTATGACAAATTTAGCCTAGTTTGGAAGAAGCCAATGTTCAGTCAGTGAATTTTTAAAGGGTTCTTAACGAAAATGGTTATTAGGGAGGAAGAGGATGTTATTTTTCAGATATTTTCTTACATCAACAGCAAGTGAGTTTGGACGACAATGCGAAATAGTATTAATTTCCTCGTGGTGTTTTTACAGGTGAAGAAATTGCACTGGACGATGACACTTCATATTTGGATGATGTTGTCAAAGCTCCAGCTGCACCAGACAGGGAGCCTGGAGCGGATAGTATTCGTAACAAAGATGGAGTACCTGTAGATGAGTTTGGTCTGCCTCAGGTTCCAAGTGCTGCTCAGACAATCCGCTGATAATCTGTTACAAGGGTTTAGCTTTGTTTTGATACAGGTTGTTGTTTCATTTACACATTATACATCATACAGCTAATTTCGATGTTGCAATATTATTTATTAATGTGCTGTTATGAGTTTTGTTTTTTATGCTTATGCTTTACAATTTTAAAACATTAAAAAAATATCAGATTACGCTTACCTTAACAAAATTAGATGTATTTGTTACAGTCACAAGTCTTTTCCGTTCAGATCTATTTGTGACCGACTAAAAAAGTCAGTATTTTTGACTGGAGTTTGGTCAAAACTAACTTTGACTTAAAATATTGATTGAAATCAATTTTTACCACGAGTAGAATACAAAACAGTTATTGTTGATTTCAGGAGAAATTTTATCCTGGACTAAACTAGTTTTTGCCCAGCCCAGTCACACCTCCACCTCCTGTCGACGATATTACTTTTTCAACTATCAGTGAATGTAAGTGAAGGTGTGTTTGGTGTGAAAGGAGATGATCCTTACGGGCTTATGACATGTATGTAGTGAATTCTGTATCACTTTGTTCTCGAGGTGCAGAAATAAAAGCTTGTGTAGGTTGAAAGTGAACCAAAATTTATAGGACTCCTTATGTATATATTCTGTGTGATTTTATTAACACTAATAGTATAAAAGTTTAATGTTTGTCAATACTAACATACTAATGTAGTTATAGCAACTGTGTTTGTCATTTGTTCTAGGTAATTCAACAGTACAACCATTAGTATTACATGACAAAAAGGAAAATTTTGTTGGTTTAACGAAAATATGATACTTGTATTATCACAATCTTCTTTAGTACGTGGGCATAGTATTTGTAACTACTGAGCTTCTACTCAAACACTTTCATGCTGACATTGGCGAATACACAATACAGTGAATGGCAGAAGTGAAAATGTTCAGTATTTTAAATTCTTTCTTCGCCAGTGAACAACAACATTCAACTACATTGAATGATTCAGTTTTATTTTTATATGGATCAATTTGGTTTCATCTAAATTGAAACTAATAATAATCAATAAGTAAACCGTGTAATATCGCCATTAGGAAAAACTGGTTTGTCTTGGTTCAGGTTCGGGTTTGGCCAGTAACAAAGTGCTTTTGACTGCTGTCAAAAGTAGTTTTGACCGGGAAACAGATCTGACTGTAACGTATTCAATGAATAATGCGAAGTTGAAATTATATATACCTGCATCAAAATAAAGTTATACTTATATAAACGCTACAGCTTAAAGCTAATGTAGATAATGTAAGAGATATTCTATATAAGTTGTGTAATATTACAGCTATTGAGATTCTCAAGTGTTACAGATGAAACATTTACACAATTACTATGTAGTGCACATATACTTATAATAAATAACAAATATGTACCTTAAATTTTCGTTTAAAATCATACACTGAGATTCTTCTTCAAATTAATTATAGTATAAAATCAAAGTATTTGTTAAAAATTATCTCTTTAAAAAATATTGCTTTAAATGTTTTATTATGTAAATGTAAATTTAATATTATTTTAATGTTCTTTTTTTAAATAAAGTTTAGTTACTAAAGTTATTCATCGTCTTTTTTGTCTATTTCTATTTGCTGGTGTTGGTGGCGCCACAACAGTGCCGCTACATCATCTTTGGTCTTTGAAAGAAAATGAGTGATCTCCCGCCGAGCAAGGTGTTCATCCCGGGGACCGGTCAATACTTTGTCAGTATGGAGCTTGTTCTATATATATAAAGGCGTTCAGAAACTTCGATAACGTGATTTAGGCTTCGGTTTGTTTACGCTAGTGGCGCGACTACAGCGCTCTTATTAATCATCGTAATTCGGACGTTCTTATTAGTCATCATAATTACAGCCCATCATAATCAGCTGATCAGATGATGAGCTGATCGTAAACCTCACCCACAGATTACCACAATAAACGGTCATGAGCCTCTGCGTACATTGGCTCTCTGTATGTTTGAGCAAGTCAATACTCCATCTTGTTAATTTGGAATTATTGTGGAATGTCGCCCAAAACTACGCTTGCTAGTACGAGGTTGCCACTAGAGAACCCTTCATCGGTTTTCAGTTCTTCGAGCTGTATGGTAGTTTTTATGTTAAAATTTAACATTTAATCTTTTGGTGGAGCAATTTTTTGGCGTTATTGAAAGCAATCAAAACTAAAAATAATATTTGTTTTTAGTCAAGGTTGTCAATAGTAATTTTGAACTTAGTGTCAGATTATGAATCTGAGGAGTTAAGACGTTTATTGCTGACTGATTTGCTTATAATCTTTTCTTTAAATGCATGCTTAAGGTGACCAGTCTCTTGTTCTCCAAGATATGTATATTTCGGTGTTCTACAGGATATAATTTTGGAGGCTTTATGCAGGAGTTGACAGAGTGAGAGGACACCCGAAGTATTTCTATCATTTCATTATGATCTAATAAGCCTTAAGATAAAGCATTAGGCTTCGTCGTTTATTATGGTTTTAGCAAAGGATTAGAATGCTTTGCCAGCTTCTGTTCGGATACACCTGATGTGAGTGATTTTAAGAGTCACTCCTCTCTTTCGGGTTTTGTCTTATCTGGTAGTATCGCTGTTAAACACTAGTTTGTAATTAATGAAAAAATATACAGGATTGTTATAATGGTTATATCGGAAAATAAAACAATACAATGGAAGGCGAAAAACCTTTAATATTAATTACAATAATTTAAGGGCATTATATTACACAGTCAACTCTAAAATACTGTTGTTCAATCTTATATTTAATAAGACATTGTGCGTTCTGAATCACAGTAAATCGGTAACTCCTGCGGTCTTGATGCTCGATCCTTACTTTATCGAGCCTCATCGCAGCACTGTATAATAACTAGGCAACTTGAACAATAAATAAGAATACTTAAGTCTTCAATATTTACATCCTAAACAATATATACAACCACTTGGAACTGTGATCGTTTCGCGTTGCTGAATGTCTAATTGCACTATCTAGTTTTAATGTACACTTGAGTTCTTTAATCCAGGGCTTCTTGACCAGTCTTTGGCAAGAAGAAGCAGAGTATTGCAGCAACTGGAAAATAAATGTGTTTTTAGTATAACGAAATTGTATATTCATCATCATCATCATCATTATAGCCCTTCACAAGTCCATTGCTGAACATAGGCCTCCCCCAAGGAATGCCACAAAGCACGGTCCTGAGCCACCTGCATCCATCGACTTCCTGCATGTCTTACAAAGTCGTCACTCCCATCTAGTGGGCGGACACCCTACACTTCGTCCGCCGGTACGAGGCCGCCACTTGAGAACCTTTTTTCCCATCGGTTGTCGGTTCTTCGAGCTATATGGCCGGCCCATTGCCACTTCAGCTTACTAATCCGTTGGGCTATGTCGCTCACTCTGGTTCTACTACGGATATCCTCATTTCTAAGTTTATCACGCAGAGAAACTCCGAGCATAGCCCTCTCCATAGTTCGCTGAGCGACCTTGAGCTTCCTCATCCGGCCAGCAGCGAAGGACCACGTCTCAGTTCCATAGGTCATCACTGGCAACACGCACTGGTTGTACAGTCTCGTTTTCAAGTTTTGAGGTATACCTGACGAGAAGATGTGCCGTAATTTCCCGAACGCTGCCCAGTCGAGTTGAATCCGTCGATTAACCTCTCGGTCGAAGTTGGACTTACCTAGTCGGACTATTTGTCCCAGGTAAACAACTTCGAGCTTAGTGCTCCCAATAACTTCCGGCATAGGTGTGGCATGGACGTTATACATGATCTTTGTTTTACCCATGTTAGTCTTAAGATCTATCTGTTGGGAGGCACTATTAAGGTTATTGAGTATAGTGCTTAAGCCCTCCAGCGATTCTGCCATATGGATTATATCGTCGGCAAATCGAAGGTGAGTGATGTACTCGCCATTGACGTCAATATCGTATCGTTTCAAATCTAGTAGCTTGAAAACTTCTTCCAATGCTGCAGTGAATAATTTCGGGGATATTACGTCACCCTATCTTACACCTCTCTGCAGTTGGATAGGTTTCGTACTCTGATTTTGTACTCGTATAGCCATCGTAGCCCTACAGTACAAACACTTCAGGCACTTCGATATACCGACAGTCAACTTGGCACCGTTGAGGGGACCGTAGCACCGCCCAAATTTGGACGAAATCAAAGGCTTTCTCATAGTCCACATACGTAAGGCAAAGTGGCAGATTGTACTCTTCTGTTTTTTGTACGATTTGCCAAAGGGTGTGTGTGAGGTCTATGGTACTAAAGCCTCTTCGGAAACCGGTTTGTTCGGGAGGCTTGAAGTCGTCGAGTCTGCATAGGAGACGATTCGTAATGACTCTCGAAAACAGCATGTAGACACGGCTCAGAAGGGAAATCGGTCTGTAGTTCTTCAAGAGAGCGTTGTCGCCTTTCTTGAAGAACAAGACCCGCACTTCTGCTCCACGGCTCCGGTGTAGTGCCACAATGGACGACGGCATGAAAGAGCTTCTGAAGGACTTCAAGTACCGGTTTTCCACCCGCTTTCAGAAGCTTCGCTGTAATTCCATCCTCGCCTGGAGCCTTGCCGTATTTAAGGTGCTGGAGAACTATTCTAATCTCGCTCAGACTGACGTCCAGAATATCATGGGAATAGTGTCGGATAAGAATTGCTCTTGGATCGTTACTCACACTTGCGTGTGGCGCCAACGATGACGTGTACAGTAAATAATGTGTCTCAGGTGTCCCGGAAACGACGCTGCCACACTCGGTCTTCCGCTTCGACAGTTGGCTCTTTCTGGCAGACAGATCTCTAGCAAAGACTTTGGAGCCTCGGTTTCGCTCGATCGCTTCTTCAATACGAGCAGTATTAAAGTTACGAAAGTCCCGCCGCATGCTTTTGAAGATCTGTCTGTTCAGTTGCCTGTATGCTGTCAAATCTACTGAAGCTGCAGCTTCATTTCCCGTCTAACAATCATGAGAATAAGAGTGTGATCGAAGAGTTATTGTGTTCTTCTGCGGCGGATCTTGCAAAACTTAGCTTCGACCGCATGGACAGTTTCTACGAGCTTGTCATTCATATCGTCCACTTCATTGCAGTCTTCTAGGCACTGAAAACGGTTTTGTAACTCGAGCTGAAAGGTTTCGGGACTTTGGATTAGAGCACGAGGGGGACGGAGCGTTGACTTCATTAGACGTGACCTCTCCAACTTAACGTTTAAGTTCAGTGTACCTCTCACCATTCGGTGATCGCTGCAGGTTGTCACCCCCGCGATCACTGAGACATCACTTAACAGTTATCGTCTGGTCGTTATAATGGAGTCAATCTCATTTTTTGTCGAACCGTCGGGGCCCGACCGGGTATACTTCCTGTGGGGCCGCTTCTGGAAGAAAGAGTTCATCATAAACAATCCCTCTTTCTCCATGAAGTCGCCAGGTGCTGACCCCTTGCCCTATTCCAAATTTCTCTGCCTTCAGCTCACCGTTCTCTATTGTGCCTAGTTTTTCGTTGAAGAAATTAACACCGTATAGTGGGTTTTGAAGGAATGCATGGCTCTAGATATATCCTCATATATTTCTTCCACCTCCTCATCGGGATGTGCCGAGGTTGGTGCGTAAACCTGTATGACCTTCAGTGAATACCGTTTGGTGATTCTGGTACGCCACCCTTGTTGACACACCCTCAATCTTTACAATGTTGTTAACGAGGGACTTGTGGACGTGGAAATTCGACACCTCCTTGGAACAGATGGTCGCCTTCTCGGTAATAGAAAAGTTGCCGGATTCGAGGATTACCATGTCCTCCCCCTCTCTTCGGACCTCAGATAATCTTATAATATTCCCGCGCAACTTGTCTGTCTCTTCTTTCAGCTCCAGGATCTTGTCAGTCCTCAGGGTGCGTGCGTTATATGTTGTTAGGTCGAGTCGTAGTAAGTGGCAACCGAACCTTCACCGGAGATTCTTAGCACCCCCTGCCCCGCCTTTACCATGGTTGCCACCGTAGCCAGGAATAGCGGGGAAGCCGGGGACTGGAGATCGTCTCTTCGTAACTTTAATCGTGGGGGTATATTCCCATAGTTGCCACGTTTGGCGAGCGGGTTGGCAATCGCCGTTTTTTATTGTTGTTTTGCTGTTATTAGAAAGATGCTGCTGCCCATCTGCCTCTGTCGCCTCTTACGACACACCCACGGGAAGATATGTGGTAGTTGGTTATTCTTACCCGCCACTACACGGGGAAATTATATATTACCAATATTTAATTAATATTTAAGGAGAGTCGTGGTAGCTCAGGGGCTTTAGCGCTCGCTGTAAATTAAACAGTACGCGAGTAACCCGCGTTCGATCCCAGCTGGCACTAATGGAATTGTTAATTACAATTTTAAGTGCTGATTTACTGAGGTTTATATTACGATTAAGTGACGAAACCTGCATGTCTGAGAAATTAAAAAAATATTTCGAAGACGTGAAGTCCGACAACACGCATTAGGGCAGCGCGGCGGACACTACCTCACCCTAAAATCCTCTCAGAAGCGAGAAGAGGCCGGTGCCCAGCTGTGGGACGTATATAGGCTGTAACTTTTAATATTTGATCCATGAACCGCGTATTAGAAGACATAATTTAAGACATGGTCACATGACACATAGTCCTTTCATCATTAGAACTGGCTTTGACTTCTGGTTGAGTTAGGACGTTACTTACCGTCGCCGGTCCGGGTAATTTACGTCTGGCGTAAACAAGGTGGTTATCCTACTATCTATCTGCAGTCATGAGATCTTTCTGGCATATCCCATAGTCTCCTCGATTTCCTCAAGACAAAATCGGTTAATGGATTCTCTTACGTCGCTACCCCACTTCATAATTAAATTGTTTATATGTAAATAATAAAATTGTACAAAATATATTTTTTTTTACGTAACACTGAAATGAGAAAGAATTAGCACTTACTAAACAAAAATGCTGAGAAGACAACAATAGGCACAATGCAGTTGATGTCTATGAGGTAGCCAAATGACAGGTTTCCAATGAGACCACCGCCTCGACCCGCCGTTAGGGAGAGTGCAGCCGCCATTACCCTGGAACAAGTTTGTAAAAATATAATAACTGTAATGATATAGTTACCAGCCCATTTTAGATATTGACGATCGATTACAATTTCCGATTATTTTCGAAAGCAATCAATTACGCAATTTATATGGAGCCACAAGGCCTCTCCCAAGGCGCTCCAGTTAACCCGATCTTCGGCTTCACTCATCCAGTTGATGCTAGCCGCCGTAAGCAGGTCGTCGTTCCATCTAGTCAGGGGGCGTCCCAGATTGCGTTTAGGTTTACTTTTAAGCGGGGTTTTGCTCTATGACCTTTCATTGTTTATGACTGAAATGGCCATCAAGATCACTTGATATACCGTACTTTATACGTCATGAGCACATCAAGTCCTAAAAAGGTAGGTTCAAAGCTCTTACAAGATGCCATTGACAAAATGATATCAGTGTCTGGTGATGTGTTTAATGTATCGATATAGTAATTAATTATTATAAGTATAGTATAATAATAATATTTACAGTAATAAATTAATTCTATAAACTTAAAATTTACCAAAATTGCAGAATTGTCCTTTAGGCTATGCCATAGTTACAAATCCAGCTCCAGAAACTGCACTTTTGTAAAAAATAGAAAATAAAATTTTCTTAATTTCTCAACAACTTACCTAAGATTCGTAGGGAACAAGTCGACAAGCACACAGAACACAAGACTGATGGCGAGCGAGGTGAGGGCTTCAAAGATGCATGAGAGGACCAAGTTCTGAGTGGAGTTTTGCACGTAGTACAAACCAACAGTCACTAAACCGGCAACACCCAAACTGAAGACTGAAATAAATTGACAATTATTGCTTGCAGGCTAATTTACGTTTGCAGTATCATACCTCTCTCTCTCTCTCTCTCTCTCTCTCTCTCTCTCTCTCTCTCTCTCTCTCTCTCTCTCTCTCTCTCTCTCTCTCTAGCACATGTGACGCTGTTCCCAGTCGTCGGGGTAACGTCATCCATTGGAAGCCATGAGATCTTGCTAGCAGTTTTCCATAGTCGCTCCTTACGACAACCACAGGAGCAAATGGATATATAGCATCTGCTAGTTTTAAAAGTTACAACGGGTTATAAGAAAGAGTTAATTTTTATTTAGGTGAAAACATTTTGTAAAGGTTTGGTGGAGATAAATAGGTTATTGTTTGTATTAGAAATGTAGATATTACAAGAAGCGGAAACTGTTGTAAAAAACCAACTAGATAATTGTAAAAAAATTTAAATTCTAGATCATAAATTATGTGTATAACAATATAAATAAACGGTTTTATTAATCGTCGCAAAAGCCTCGAAAGATTTTTCATGTGAGCTTAGGTATATTAACTATTTCACGGTGTCGTTAGTCATATTATGGACAATTCGATTGTTTAACTATTGTTTTTTTTTTGCGGACAACGACTATTAATATCGTGACTTGCTTGTCATTTCATACTAGTTCTGATTAACCAGGTTACAATGGGCTAATGTATGTTGTTATTTACTTAGGTCAATTAGTGGAGAAAATATTCAAAAGATTTCTTAAGATAATCATACTTACTAAGGAAGAACTTAGCGCCAAGTTTGTGAACGCAAAGTGGAAGCCAAAGGGAGGTCGGTATGCAAGCGAGACCGACAATAAGCGTGTGCATATATACGCTTTGGTCGATGATCTTTTCGCAGTCGAAGGGGTCGGCGACCGCTTCATCGCCCACCACGATGCCGGACACGTCGCATACCGACGCTGAAGTGTTGGGGAAGCGGTGCTCGAACTCTTCGTAGCGGTTGAACAACTCGGGGAACCAGATCATGAGGGTGTAGTAGCTAGAAGTAGAGGGTTAGTTGATCTAATATACGACGGCTATACAAAGTAAAGAGATAATTGGTTGAGGTAATATTTTGGAAGGTCTTAGTTTTTCTGATAGCATGGTACATCGCGTACAAGTGAAATGAGGTTAACATTTTAATAATAAAGAAAAGTAATATGGCACGACTACGGTTCTTATGGCGCCTCGATTTGATATTTTTGAGTATCGATATCTCGGAAACTAAGCGAGATATCGAAGAATTTTATTCTTACTTTTCGGCGTATCTCGACATCTATGCGAATCCGCATTTAAATCGTGGCACTGTAGGAACCGCAAAATCCCCAAAAATATAATTATTTTCTGAGTCTGCCCGAGGAAGACCTAGTGAGTGTCATCATTGTCTCGATATATAATATGACTATATTTTATTCCTTAGATATGCCGGATTCCTATAATGCGTTTTCCTTCACTGTTCGCACGTTGTGACATTTAAATTTACTGAGAGCCGCGTACGACAAAACTCTGTGCTTGCGACGATACAGTATTCGTTTCACAGATTGCAATACTTATGCGACAGTGGCTATTGCATGAAGTTTTCATGATATTTTACAACTCTCGCCGAACAGACTAGTAGCTCAGTGGATAAGCTCTAACTTAATTTGGTTTGGTTTGATGGTGTTTTGCTTTTTCAAAATTCTTTGAAATGAGACAAGCTCAGTATTTGGCAGTGAGACGTATGTAGGTGATTGCTTTACTATTTGTACTTTCACCGAGTACACAGTGGCGGTGTAAGAGAATTCATTACTCCATACTTCAAAACGACTCCTGCTTCCGAGCACCAGAACATAATAAAATTAAGCAGACATTTTTTTGGTATTGCTTTATAAAAATTTGTGAGTTCTAACATTACAAAGCTAAGAATTGAGATTTAGGAAAAAAAATAGCATTTATTACGCTTTTAAGGCAATATTCGACTTATTAGTGCTTTAAAATACTTTGCTACTATATTATTGTATATTATATAGTTAAGGGATATAATAACTTCGCTGTTGTTACAAATAAAAGCATATTCAGTAACAGACCTCTTACACCTCAAATTCTGCTTTTTCTCAGGTGTTTGACCTTTTTCCAAATCGGAAAGTTTTGAGGCGGTTATTTCTCTGTGTGGAAGGCCAAAAGTTTTCTCCCATTTCGCGTAATTGTTAGATAGAATATAAAATACATATTTGCATAGTTGAGTGTCCACTATTTCAAATTTCAAACTTCTTACCTACTTATATGCTACTACTTTGTGTAACTAATAATTTTTCTTACCTAGTAGTTAAGCCAAACTGGATGACGCAGGTAAGGATCGTGTATTTGAGGTAGGGAGGTCGGCATAAAGCTTTGGTTTGAACCCAGATCTCGCTAAATAACCTCTTCAGGTCTTTAGGTTTACGCATGCTCAGGCTTCGCACAGATTTCTGAGAGCTTTGCGACGCCACCGATATCGTTCGCACTTTTTCCTTCAGGCTCTTGATCTATTAAAAAAAGAAAAATAACATGAGTGAGAATCAAAGCTAGACGTAGAATATTGATGCATTACAGATATTTCAATTACTAAAGAAAAAAAAAGTTATTCATATAAAATTTAGTTTTATTCAATAAAAGTAGGAAAGAGGCTCGTTAATCTTTATATATAAAAATGACTGTCACATTGTTTGTCCGCGATGAAATCCTAAACTACTGAACTGATTACAATGAAATTTTTGGTCTATGTGCAGTTTGGTCCAACTTGAGAGATAGGACAGTTTTATCCCCTTAATAAAAATAAGTCCCTTAATATTTTTATATCGAATTTAAGGATTTTTTCATTGGACAAAGGGTCATCAGAAAGGTCAAAAGAACGTCTGCCTGGTCAGCTAGTGTTTATATATATAAAAATTACGTGTCACATTGTTTGTACGCGATGAACTCCGAAACCACTCAACCGATTTTAATGAATTTTTATTTTTAAATTGTGTTGTGTTTACTCCAACTTGAGAGATAGGATGGTTTTTATCCCGATAAGTGACCCTCAATATTTTTTATTGCGAATTTAAAGATTTTTTAAAGGGCAAAGGGTCGTCGGAAAGGGCAGAACAAAGTCTGCCTGGCCAGTATTATATATTTATGTTATATATAATACTGCATAATACAGCGAATGGAGCTTCAGGCCGCCACTGCGGCCGCGGTGGTGTGTTGTTACAGTGGCTAATGGCTATAGCCGCGGCTCGCGGTTAGCGGCCACCGCAAGCCGCTTGTGTGTGGGAGACGCGTTATAAGCTGACTTAAAAAAAGAACGTTTTAAATTTCGACTGTTTGTTCTTTTTTTTGTATGTATGTTAAGCAATGTCTTCGTCAGTTGTGAACCGGTTTCAAGTATTGTTTTTTAAAAAAAAAATAGGTTATACTTTAGGAGTTTCATATAAAATTGAAGAAAAATTCTACATGTAAGGGTGGGAAAATAGGGAATGAGAGTTTTAGTATAACTATTCCTCAGTTCGCTCCAAACGGTAAAATAATAAATAAAAAGTAAAAGCCGACTTCAAACAACTAAAAAGAGTAAATTATTTTCTACATAACAACAGCTCTTGACGTTGTTATATGGAAATTATTTAGTCTGCTCGAAAAATATTTTTTATTGCGCCATTTTCTTTTAAATTCCGTGATTTACACTTGCATCATCAACAAGTAATACGTTAGGTTCTATATTGCATAACGATCGTAACAGTAGATGTAATCACTGCGAACGGGAAAATAATGTGATATCCCGTTATAAAACAATTTATACTTTGAGCACCTAATGTCATTTTTCAGTAACTAACGCCTATTTATTTGTTAATTATAGTAACATTTAAAAAAAAAATATTGATAAAACATTAATATTATTATAGTAAATATGTAACACGTACTTAAATTTTACATATTAGTTAAGTTTAGTATAATTAGACCTTTTATAAACCTTTGTTTATTCAATAAAATTAAAGATTATGCATTTCAAGCGATAAATAATATGATTATAATAAATTCCTTCATGTCGCCGCCATCTATTTCAACAATATTAACATAAAGTTATTCGGCTACGTTCAAGTTTGAGATATATTGAATATGTTTACCGGGTAATTATCGGGGTCATCGCCAGTGTTTTGTCGGTAGATGTTCTTAAGGCAAGCGAGTGCATCGTCGTAGTCTCCACACTCCATCATAAACTTGGGACTTTCAGGGAACGAGAACAGCCAGAAGCCCAACAGGAGAGATGGGACTGCACAGGCAGCGACGAACCAGTTCCATGAGTCGTAAGAAAAGCTGCCGTTTTCAATGCGAATGCCTTGGATTGGGATAATGCCCCAAGCGATCACTACGGGAAAAATGCAAAAAATAATAAAATAGATAAGCAACCACAAGAAATACAGCATGGCTTTACGTGGTAGAGCCATGCTAAAGCTATATTGTGTCCGGGGTGGGACCACACTCTCACAAAATACCAGCGTAAAATAGCAGCTTAATGCTGTTGTGTTTCGTATGGTGAGTGTAGAGAACCGCGGAGACCCGTTTTACTGGAAATGAGGCATTCCATCTCAAAGGTGACAACGTATCTGCGTTTGGATTCGTAATTGAGGATAAATGTAGATGTCTATTGGTCACACTGACGGATTTACTTACTATTACGTGGGTTATGTGCTCGTTTGTCACCCTTATTCTATAAAATAAAAAATAAAAAGAAGAGAAGACGAGAAAAATTTTGAAATTTGGCGAGTAAAGAAAAATAGATTAAAACAAAAAAGTATCTACAATACCAGGTGGTAGGAATACATTTCTGTTTAGTAGCCCATCTGGGTAGGTATCTACTTACTTATTACTACAGTTTGCACCGCTGTTGTGCGGTAGATATGCGTGGTATAGGGAGCCAATGTAATTATAGGCTGTGAAACATTCTATCTTAGCTCTCAGAGGTGATAAATCATCTGTAGCCTGTCATCAGTTGGTTCCAGGCGTCCATGGGCCATTCACCATCAGGTGGACAGTAAGTAAGTTTGTCACTTCAGTTGAAAAAAAATATGTGAAAAAGTTTTTGAAGATGTTCGATGGTGGCTAATAAAAATTAGATTAAGTTTACGGAATGGGGAACATAGGATTAGTTTCCCATGACAAAAAGTTACTAGAGGATAATGAACATTAAAGTGTTTTTGTTTACACGCGCGCTGGGCGCCGGGCCGAGAATAGTAAAAACATGTGATTCCACGTTTTTTATGATTAAGAATCAAATTGCAGATGCAATGTCACCCTAAGGCCCACCACATACATACGGAATTCCGTTTCAGGATTCCGTTTCAGGATTCCGTTTCGAGATTCCGAACGCAGCAAGTTCATATAAAATGTATGGACCCGTCACACACGTACGAAATTTTGCGAAAGTTTTCTGTTCGAAATTTTGCGGGTAAAACGGGATTCCGTGTGTGTGGCGGGCTTTAGGTGGCATGCCTCGTAGCAAAACAGAATTATTATTACTACATTATGTTGCGATTTTCGGCAGCGTGGTCTGTCTGATCTGTCTGATCTAGCCGATCGATTCGTGTTACGCCCACAATATAACTGCAGCAAGTCTCTTCTTACACCAAGGGTGGAAGCAAGTGTAATGGCTTTTAATTTTTAATCATACTAACGTGGAAGTAAGATGACACCCAATGTCCAGAACATTTCCATCCAGCAGAGAATCTTCTCTCTGTATTTGGTTTGTTGAAATTCTCCCAAGTATGGGAAGCAGATACCCATAGCGCCGGCAACACTAAAAGAAAAAAAAATTGTTCTTAAATTAAAATTTACTATTATATCCAGTGTTCCATGTTTGAAATGTACATATTTCTAGTGTATATATATATATATATATATATATATATATGGAGTTTACGAGCGGTGGTAGCTCATATGTTAACTCCAAATTAACAACCCAACATTACATAGGGCAACCCAAGTACGATCTCCACCGGCACCAATAAAATTGATAATTGTCTAACCTGCATATCTAATAAATAAAATATTTTGAAGGCTTGCAGATTCCGCCAAGACCGCTGGAAAAGCGTGGTGGACTAATTATTCCAAAAACCGTGAGAGTAAACCTGTGCTCTGCCGTGGGATTCCGTTGGTTACCAATATTTTTCGGGTGAGCCCTTAAGTTGTCAGGAAGGGTAAGTAGTATTATTGCATACAATACTTTAACAAAGCTAAAAATTTAAACAAATATTCTTTAAATATTCCATTCCATTACAGCCTATAAAAGTCCGCTGCTGAACATAGCCCTCATATTGGCTTGTGGGTATTTTTTCCACGAATGACAAGCTGGTTGGCAACCACAGTTTTTTTTATAATTTTGAGTCTTTATCAGGAAGATTCTGCTGCCCATCTCCTACTTCAGTTTCCCTCACTTCTTACGACACTCATGCTATGATAATGGGCTAATGGATATTCTTACTCCGCAACTACACGGTTGATCTAAACTACTTTGTACTTTGTCTAACTTTGTGATTTAGACAGTTGCTAACTTCTTTCCCTTTGATTAGTCTCTACTCCTCCACTATATTCTTCTCATGTAAGGAGCGCTGGAATATAAGTTGCGCTTTCCTTCACGGCCTTTAATTTTATCAGCGCAACGACCTCAGCAGTGGATCTGGTCAATTACACGTAGTTTTTTTTTAAATTAACTAATATTTAATCTATATCTATACAAATAAATAAAATTGAAGTGTCTATTTGTAATAACAAAATTTAGCTGCTTTTTACTAAATGCATATGAATGTATTATTTTTAAAGTTTTTGTCTGTCTGTCTGTTTGTTTGTTCCGGCTAATCTCCGAAACGGCTGAACCGATTTTGACGGGATTATCACTGGCAGATAGCTGATGTCACAAGGAGTAACTTAGACTACTTTTATTTTAGAAAAATAATTAGGGTTCCGCGCAAAAAAATTAAAACCCCAAAAACACGCGGGTGAAGTCGCGGGGAACAGCTAGTTTACAATTAACAGGGTTGGCGGAGGTGACTGGTAGAGAAATGCCATTAGGCATTAAGTCCGCCGCTTGCAAGCCTTGGTTTAAAGCGTCTTACAATAAAAAAAAAGATATTTAACGATTGTATATAACACGTTGTTTAAAGACGTGGCCAGCTCTTAAATTAGTTTTTACTATTGAATCATGTGAAAAGTTATTCAATTTAAATGATTGACTATGAAACAATAAATTTTTCATGGTGCGATGCGATTGTTTACCGTAGTGTTAAAAGTGATTTTTTTTTTCTTTTAGATACAGTTGTCACTGGTTGACAGCCTTAAGTAGCATGTTAAACGTTATCTGTACATGTCAGGAGTGTGACATGAACCAAGTAGTATTAGTGACATTACTAGCTAAATTTATATGATAAAATAAATCAATATTTATGTATATAGAATACTAGCTTACTCCCGCGAATTTACTTGCGTGCTTCGCTTCACCAACATACTTTTTTCTTTTAAAGAAACGTTAGGATTATCAGTATCGCGAAGATATTTTACATGCTTAAATTAAACATTCGGACCGCGAATTTTTATTTGCAGGCCATACAAATACTTGGTCCGTGCGGGATACGAACCCGCAGCCCTCAGTGCCGCAACTCAATGCTAAGCCAATGCGCCACGCAGCCGTCCAACTAGTGTTCTATGTCAAAATTCGGAACCTCGTCGCCTATCAGTGTTTGTCTGTCTGTCACAAACATTCGTCTTAATAATAATATGCTTACTCTGTTTTTTCTGCCGACTTCCAAAAAGGAGACGGTACTCAATTCGACTGTATGTTTTTTTTATGTGTGTTACCTCATAACTTTTTACTGGGTAAACGGATTTCGATGATTCTTTTTTTATTTGAAAGCTGGTACTTCTCGTGTGGTCCCATATGAATTTGATCAAGGTCAGACCAATAGTTTTTGAGTTATTTGAGTTATTCTTAATAACTTAAATTGAAGTCGGCTGTACAAAATTTTTAATTTTTAATTATTTTACAGTGTAAATATAAAATGTATTAAGAACTCAACCACATCGCCCCCGATGGGGACTATATTTTATGATTTTTTCTTCTAGCCACTTCAAAAACCAGACGCTACTCAATTCGACTGTATGTTTTTTGTTTGTTACCTCATAACTTTTTACTGGGTGGACCGATTTCGATGATTCTTTTTTATTTGAAAGCTGGTGCTTCACATGTGGTTCCATATAAATTTGATATCAAAGTCTGACCAATAGTTTTGAGTTATTCTTAATAATTTATATTGAAGTCGGTTGTGCAAAATGTTTAATTTTTAATTATTTGGCACTCCATTAGCATACATTACAGTCTATTTTGGCAACCGTACTTTTTATTAATTTGAATTGTTATCAGGAAGATGCTGCTGCTCTTCTCATTTAGTTTTCCCTCTAGTCTCTTACGATACACTTGGTACGATATAGGGCAATGGATGTTCTTACCGCAACTACACTGTTTTTTGGCACTAAACCAAGTCAAAAATCGTATTTCTGGCATATCTATGCTAGATTATTTATTCTTATTTGATTCTTATCTAAGAACCATCATCTCGCCATAACAAAAAATATATGTTGTAAATATGATTTCAATCTGTCAAAACGTACTGAAGTTACACAATCACTAACACCAATGAATATAATATCATATTTTAATTTTTATTTATTGTATGTATGTTATGCAATATTTTCAACAATTTTACCACATTTTTATTAAGTCACTTTCTTGTCGTTCCAGGTGGCATCGTGTAACTCAAATTTCGAACACTTCACGATGAGCTAGAGACTTTAAATTTTGAACATAGCTTAGAATCGAATGAAAATCTAGGAATATAAAAAAAAACGTGGTATATCATTTTTTTAAACTTTTTATTGAATAGGTATACTTCAGGGCTGTTCCCATATAAATTTAGGGCAAAATTGTACCCAATAACGTTGACTGAATAGTAGACGAAGTTTTTAATGTTTCTATTTAGACAACATTCTATTTATCTTGATATTGATAGTTTTAAGTAATAGTAAAAGCAATCTGAAGTCAGGGCTATAACTTTTCTATACAATATAGCTTAGCTCCGTCTTCAGAATGTTAAATTGTATTGTTCGATTTAGTTGTTTGATGTCCTGCTATTATTTTTTTATTAATAGCAGACAATGCCCCGTGGAGCCCAAATTTGTCGACGCGGGGCAGCGTCGACAAGTTTGGGCTCCACGGACTTTCATGTAAGAAAAGTGCTGGTAGGTTTTCACGGCACTATTCCCTGAACGATGTCATCCGAAGGGCTCTTGTCTCTATAAATGTTCCCTCGGTTTTAGATCCTTGTGGAATATTTAGAGACGATGGCAAGAGACCCGACGGTATGACATTAGTCACTTAGGAGAGAGGTAAAGCCCGAGTCTGGGATGCATATCTAAGGGGTACCTCGTTTAGAGCCTGGGCGGCATCAGAGGTAGTTGAACTGAGTAAGTGGCACAAATATGAGTCTCTGAGAGATGACTACATATTTGTACCATTTGCTGTAGAGACTAATCGGTCCGTGGGGTCCACGTGCAGTGAAGTCCCTAAAGGAACTCCATCCGCCGCTGGTCGTTGCTGCTGGTGATAAGATGGCTGGTTCTTTTCTCGCTCAAAGGATAAATATCGCGATTCAGCGAGGAAACGCAGCCAGTGTTCTTGGCTGCGTTTTAGTTTTTTTTTAATATTATAGTTTCTAATATTGTATATAATAAAATATTGTGTACTTGTTCATTAATAATTAAATTGTATTTTTTATTTATAATAAATTTTATTTATAAATTTTAAATATATGCAAGTTTTACGGCAGATATTACAATGTAAAGAGTTCATTTCTGGACGCAAGTCTCTAATTTCGAAAATTTGCTGTAACCACTTCTTTTATCATTTATTTTTAGGATTAAACTTAACTTTATGTCATCATCAACATTACATCCCTTTCACAAGTCCACTGATGAAGATAAACCTCCCCCAAAGAATATCACAAGCCTCGGTCCTGAGTCACCTGCAGCCATCGAGTAAGCTGAAGCGCAATGGACTAGCTTTACCCATAACTTTAAGAACCGAAAACTCATAGGAAAGAAAAGTTTTCAAGTAGCTAGATAAAGTAGCAACCTGGTAAACATCTCTATGTAGTATAAAACAAAGTCGCTTCTCGCCGTCTGTACTCTTAGATCTTTTAAACTTCGCAACGAATTTTAATGTAATTTTCACTAATAGACAGAATAATTTAAGAGAAAAGTTTATATGTATAATACATGCATATTAAATATTATATAATTTTTCTATCCGTGTGTATGTGGCTGAACTCCCCCTAAACGGCTGGACCGATTTTGATGAAATTTTGTGTGTGATTAAGTTGATTCAATAATGGTTTAGATTCACAATTGAACGCTAGGTGGCGCTGTTGTTGAGATCTAGGAATCACTCGTGTGAAGCTGGGGCGGATCGCTAGTCATATATAGAAAAGGAAAGATGAGGGCTAGTGTGTGTCTATGTTCCCGATTTAAAATTTAAAGCACTTAAACTTGTCAAAATGGACATTCATCATCATAAAAATAGGTCTTTGTTATACTTACGAAAATCCGTTAATAAATCTGCATGCCATGAAGACTGGTAAAATCTGAACGAATGAGGAGAGGATACCAACGAAGCCATCAATCAGGAGTGTTGATACTAATACCACTTTACGACCTTTGGTATCAGCCAGGCAACCCCAGAAATATGACCCGAGGACCATTCCTAAATGAAAAAAAAATTATATTAATAACGATCTTAAAATTTCATTCAAAAATATTAAGTTACAAAAATTCAAACAGACAGTAGCCTAATCGGAAAGTCGTGGGTTCGAACCTGCTATTCGGCTATTGTGAAGGACTCTTTATTCAAACATTTTAAGTTTAGCTTTATTTGAAGAGGTTAGCGGGAGTTTAGTAATGTTAATATTATGAATAGTATTCTTTTCTTTAAAAATATTTTAAAAGGTTAAAAACATATGAAAGTGGAACTATTTTTTTTAAGAAAGTACAGCTTGCTAGCAGATTTTGTTCATATTTAAGTTTTGGCGTGTAATACAATAAAGTGTTTTCTATCTATGTATCCTTTTCTAACAGTAAAAGAGTAAAATGGTTAAGGTTTTTTCCGAAGCAGTTTTTCACGTACAGACTTAAGTTTTCTCTTTATAATATAAATATCTGCATGGAATAGAAAACTGTTAAATGTTTAGTTGATTTTATTATTAATTATTTCTGTTTATATTCTTACATATTACTTTTAGGCATCTCAGTTATCCGTGAAGAACCAACGCACAGTCGATTCTTCTAGCATTGGCGATAAGAGGTTTTAAATCATCAACGCTACACGGCGACTTTAAGCGTTCGTTCGCAGCAAAATCTTGTGTTTATAAACCATTTTCATTAATTAGCTTTCTTGTATGTCTGTGTGGTATAAATTTTGCAATCGATTTTTAGCTTAGGTACTTCCCGATTAAGGTATGCTCAGCACTGGATGACAGACAAAACGCAGAAAATAATACCACGTTTTTAAAACGGGCTTTTTAGTCCCCTAATAATAAAATGATTTCTACTAGTCCGATACAGATTTACGACCTGTATGATTAGTGAAAAATATAAAACAATAGAACATGGCCCGTATGTAATAAAAATAATATTAATAGTGTGTGTAATACGAAATAAGTATTGTTACTTCTGAAGCGATAATGTGTTTGCAGTGTAAAGCGTTTAGTGGCTCGATTCGGCTTCTAAAACAATAGTAGATTAACGATCAAATAAACGGAGTAAGGTTTAGTCGCAACATCTGGTTCTCAAAAGGAGATGCAATTGCTGATCGTCGGCCACTAAATGTATTCAATTGTGTTTGGTTCATAAAGGTCATGTTACGTGTAATTATGTTATTGACTTAGCTCACAAATACTGTCATTTCATAATACTTAAACTTTCAATGGCACGGGAAATGGGGTAGGTGGGGCGACACGCGTATGTTCTGCTGTTTGACGCATAAGAACTGAATTATATGTATAAAAATAATTATCAGTTTTTTTTTCATATAATAAAAGATTTAATATCTTTTAGATGGTTTTCACGACGAGTATCGACTATTTGGAGTAGGAACTTCGTTAAAGAATTTATATTTATAAAACTTCTTAAAATCGATTAACAATACATCCGTGAAGACGGAATCCTAATCTAAAAATACCTTAATTGCTATCATTGCAGTATTTAACTAAATAACTAACACATGAGCTAAATAATATGTTGCAATGATTAATAAGATTGCCTTTTAATAATAATATGTATAGTATAGTATACATTAAATAAAAGTAACAAATATTGATTGTCTTAGAGATTGATGCATGATTCATGTTTATTGTGAGTTCATGAACCGTTGATAAATAACGTATATGTAATTTAATATTTCTTAAATAATTCAATCTCACCTAACATGGGAGCTGCTGTAAGCCATCCTTTATCGGAAGACGTCATCCGGAAGTCACATGTTGCTGCTGGCAACACGAACGACACTATGGTGATGCCGATAGCAGTGTTCGCGTATATTAGACCGGTGACTGCGAGAAGGCAAAAGTGGAAACGCCCAAACCCTGTAAAAACATCAATTAAAAATGGCTGATACACGTAAACGCAGAGGCTGTGTCATGTCTCTTATCTATCATAGATATTAAATAGATACAATAATTAATAATAATAATTAATAACACTTTTGTGGTTTCATTAGATTGTAATGCTATTTATATGCTAAAGTTACATTCATGAATAAAGTATTTAAGATAAAATAGTTTTTGTTTATGAAGTTACTCTTAAATGAAATATTAAAGCAAATAAACACTTACCAGTAGCTGAAATTGCAGCTTCAAAATCTGCTCCATGTTCCAAGAAATCCAAACCTGTAATAAAATACATTTATGGTTACATCCTGCAATCATATATTATTTAGATATAAAATATGTTAACAAATATCTCATATTAAAACTACTTAACTACTAAAACTGGCTTATTAACAGTCCAAGTCACTGCATTGTGTAAACTCAAACTCATATTATCACAAATTGTTGATCAACACTTGAAACAAAAATGAGATTGTTCTATTTTAGTGTTAAGATTAGTCATTGTCTATAGAACAGTTGCTTACACCATTAACTGTTGTACCTACTACGTTACTTCATTAATAAGGAATATTATTAGTTTGATCGCCACTATTTTGACATTCTGGGAATTACTGAGTTAATGAAATGGAGTTTCGGCAATTTGGTCAATAAAAACAAACCTCTAAAAGTCAAATTTCTATAAAGTTTTAATGCTTATCATGTAGGTATAGGTGATTCTTAATGCGGCAAAATAATGACAGGTAATGTTGTTGAAGTACTGACTACCCTCATTTGTGTATAACTACAAATAAATAGTAAGGGTATATAATTACAAACTATTTTTGTTTTTGACCCACTCTTCTTCTATGCGAGCTTGATGTAGAATGTCGTATGAATTGAGGTATACCAAATTTTTTTTTTCAAAAAAAAATTTGAATATAGCTAAAATTAGAATCGCTTAGTTTATTTTCTTAAACTAAGCGATTCCACTAGAGTTATTTTTAAACGTGTGATTTGATAACGTCAATTCAAGCTGTAAGGATTATTATGTGATTAGATTGATTATATAAAACAAAGTTGGCTTTTACATGTCATGATAAGATGAATGTTATGTTTTCACTTATGCACTTAAAGATGGTAATTGGAAAATAAATAGGCGTAATTGATAAAATAATGCATCGCAGGAAATTCGAAATTATTTACGCTTAGCGTATTTCGCTATTTATGAAATTCGATATTTACGGGAGCGTTATTGACCATAAGCATGGTCACGTGGGCAAAGATGTTTACTACAATTAAAACAAAGACGTTGAGAAGAGAACAACATTTTTGGCCACATCGCGCCAAACCAAAGCACGAAGCGTTTTTAGGAAGCCGAATTAGGTTTTTTTTTTTGCGATTTTGATGTACCTATTGTTACAAGTGCACAAAATAGAGGCTGTCATTAATTTAAGACCATTTTACTAACGTTACATTTTTTAATATGAGCTTAACACTATATAATATAAATGAATTGTTCAATGATTTGTTTATTTTTTTTTGTTCCTTACTTTCTGGGGTAACGAGTGTAAGTTTGTTTTATGACTTTGTTCGCTGTTCTTTACTAACTCTTTATTTTGTTTATTTAAAACATTTTTTTTAAGTCTACTTCAAGGAATTACGTCCAAAGTCTATGTCCGTTGCGAAAAAAGATGACTTTGATTAGGTTCTTCGTGGCGAGACTATGATTTATACGGCAACTATTAAAAACAAAAATAAACAGTAGCAAAAACTAGAAGAAAAAGAATGATCGAAAGCGGCAAAGTAAAAGTGAACTTTTCTTGCACAGTGGACCGGACGGAATTTTCGTATGAATGGATGAAAATTCTGAAAAAAAATTTCCATGATGTTAAGTGAAAAGCTAAACATTGTAATTTACTTAACACACACAATGTAATTTATTGAGATTCGATGTTTATATAACGTTTTTAAATTATAATCAAAGTATTATTTCAAGACTTTAAGTAAGGTTTATAATAAAAGGTTACTAGCCATAAATTTTACATAATATTTTAATAAAGCGTAATATAAATGAAATTTGTTATTTTATGGATTTATCCTTAAGTGTCTCTCATTTCCCCCTAAAAAAAGTATCGTTGTCATGGCTCAGTGATTGTTTAATATAAACTTGCAGAACTATGACTTTATCCATTTCAGACAGTTCCAAATATTAACCGAACGAAATCACTGTGGTGTTCAATTAGTTAGATTTGACGGCTCCGTGGCGCAGTGGCTTAGCAATGACTTGCAGCGCTGGGCGCCGCGGGTTCAAATCCCGCACGTAAGAAGTATTTGTATGGCGTACAAATAATTATTCCGGGTCTGGATGTTTGTCCTTGTGCAATTTATGTTTGTAAACTGCCTCCACGGTACAGGAGAAAATCCTAGTGTAGGGTTAACTTTTTTTTAAAAAAAAAAATATGTCTCTAATCGGTGTAATTTATCTTAGTATTGTAAAAAAGTCTTAGTTACAAAAGTGAAACAAAATAAACCTTCAAAAATAGAACGCTGAAATATTCTTACTTCATTTATTTATAAACTGTAGTATTCAGATATATAGTGTGTACATTTAAGTATCACCTTATCTTTAACAATAGAGTAGTAGCGTTATTTGCTGGAACTGTCGCATGATTAATCAATTTTGAAGAAGGGTTTTACCATCATAAATATAACGCGGCGACATAACTAAACATCGGTACGCGTTTTATCAGAATATTGTGTGCACATCGCTTTAGGGAGACAAATAAATGCGACAGTGACACGGTCATTTTATGGCATTGTATGTACGTCAAGGCCCGTTGAGAAATTGTTACGGATTGTTTTAAAGTTTGATTACCTAAAACCGTATGCAGGCGTGCAATATTTGATATATATTTTGAGAAATATATTATATTTATAGTTTTACAGTAAATTAATGATGAGGGCGTCGGTTTTGTGGATAACATGGTAGTGTTATGCTGTTATACGTGATGGGCCATGCTATAGCTATATTATAGTTTTAACAAGAATGGGCTTGCTCAATCGGGAAGAGAGCACGCTCTCACAGTATACCTTCAATAAGACACATCCATTCCATTCATTTACATTCATTACAGCCTATAAAAGTCCACTGCTGAACATAGGGCTCCATATATTGCCTCATGGCAGGGATTTTACCATACTTGATGCGCTTGGAGAGCGGTTTGTCAACTGCATTTTTTTATTATTTCGAGTTGTTATCCAGAGAATGCTGCTGCCAATCACCTGTTTCAATTTCCCTTCGTCGCCTAGTAATTAAAACAATATGCTGATCATTTCCGGTACTAATTTGACACCGATATTATTTTTCGGTCTATAGATGTCACTGTGGTCGAAGTTAGCCTTTCGAAATCACTGGAACCAGGTGACGAAATTAGTAGCATGCAATTTACATAAAAAATATGAGATATATGTATTTATATTGTAAGTAATAGTTATTTGTCCATGCATTTTGTTAATGTAAATCCCGGAATCCTGGGTCATGGTCACCCACGAACTTCAAGCGACACAACGAGTTTGATGTTGTAGCTGAAGAATAAAATTTTTGTTGGACTGTATCTTTATATTTTACTAAATGATATACCTATTATAAACGCCGATATTTCCATAATTGTATTAATAACTCTTCACCAGCCGTAGTGTGGAAATTTCTAAGATCTTTTGGTCTTTGCAGGCCAGCTACATTGGATTGTGGTCCTTCTCTATCACTCGATGAAATCAACCAACATTTCGCTTCTGTAAAAGCATTGGACCCTACAATTCGCTCCCAAACTATGACATCCATTGCTTCTATGCAAACTCCTAACATTCCTACCTTTAATTTTTCTCCTGTTTCTCAGGATGATGTCAAAAAGTCTATTTTAGCAATCCAATCCAAGGCGGTGGGTTATGATGAGATTAGTAGACATATGGTAGTATTTATACTAGAGCACCTTCTTCCTGCAATTACCCATATCATCAATTTTTCCCTTGATTCATGTCAGTACCCTAATCTTTGGAAGAGGGCTTTTATAAAGCCTCTCCCAAAAGTTCCTACTCCCATTCTTCCCAATCATTTTCGCCCAATATCTATTCTACCCTTTCTTTCCAAAATTTTAGAATCCTGTGTTTACAAGCAAATCTCTACTTTTATTTCGAAACATAACCTACTGAGTATATTTCAGTCTGGGTTTCGCCCTGGTCATAGTACCGCTACTGCTTTAATTAATGTTACTGATAATATTAGACAAGGTATGGAAGAAAAAAAGATAACAGTACTGGTACTAGTTGATTTCTCAAATGCTTTCAACACAGTTGATCATGAAATCCTCCTTTCCATACTATCTCACCTGAATTTTGGTCCTACTGCTTTGGAATGGTTTGCATCTTATCTTCGCGGTCGACAGCAGTCAGTCTGTGTGGGGCAAATGTCCTCAGCTTGGGCTGATGTGGATGCTGGTGTGCCGCAAGGCGGTATTCTTTCTCCTATAATATTTTCAATTTTCATAAACTTTATTACCTCCATCCTCGACTGCTCGTATCATTTGTACGCCGATGACCTTCAGCTTTATGTGCAAACTGAATTTGAGGATATACATAATGGGATCAAAAAACTTAACGACAACTTATCAGCTATCAAAGATTGGTCTACTCGTTATGGAGTTTTGGTCAATCCTTTGAAATGCCAAGCTGTACTAGTGGGTAGCTCAAGAATGTTAGCTAAGATTAATCTGGCAGATTTACCTCCTATTTATTATGATAGTATTATAATTCCGTTCAGTAATTCTGTTAAAAATCTTGGCCTACATATCGACAGCACGTTGAATTGGAGAACCCAGGTTTCAGAAGTGAGTCGTAAAGTCATTGCCACTTTACGCTCTCTGTATCGTCTAAAACATTTTCTTCCCACAAAAACTAAAATCATGCTTGTCCATTCGCTCATATTACCCATAATTGATTATGCAGATGTGTGTTACCCAGATCTGTCCCAAGATCTTCTGAACAAACTGGAACGCCTTCTTAACAACTGTATACGATTTATTTTCGGGCTTCGTAAGTATGACCATATTTCTCAATATAGATCTAAGCTAAATTGGCTTACAATCCGTCAGAGGCGCAATTCCAGAATATTGCTTGTTCTTTTTTCCATTTTAAATGACCCATCTTCGCCTTCTTATCTTAAGAGTAAATTTCACTATCTCTCCTCATCTCATGATAGGGTCCTACGTTCTTCTTCTAACAACAAAATCTGTATTCCTGTTCAC